AAAAAAAAAAAAAAAAAAAAAACACTGATGAGAGGGACAGAACAACAATAAACAAGGAGCCACAAACAACTCGTATCACATTTGAAATGAATGGAAAGATTATTGCAAATGATTGGATGGTCATTTCAGATGTGCATTGGTGTATGAGCAGCATTAATTTGGTTACACTGGAGAAGCATAGATTATAGTGTACTATTCAATACTATAATATTAGTATGTGACTATAAAGAACAGAGGATGTACATAAAACCCTCGATTACCTAAAACCACGAGGGATCAGCGCTGTAATGTAACTACACTAGTGTCCTCTACAGGTGCTTTTATGAACTACCTGCAACAGTCACTGCAGCGATTGTGCTTGGGATTTGACAGGTTTTACTGCGACAATAACAGACAATAAATAAATGAATGCTGACAGATGTGGACAAAAACGCACAACTGACTCAGAAGGACATGGTTACTGGCAGAGCTGGATAGTAACTGATTACATGTAATCTGGATTACGTAATCAGATTCCAAAAATTAAGTACTTGTAATTAGATTAAATTACATTTTTAAATACTTGTAATCAGACTGGTTACTTTTTTATTGATTACATGATTACATATTATTCACACAATAGCAACGAATTATTCATAATTTATGAATTCTCCCTAATTCCTCCTCTTCACCTTTTAAATGTTCCTTTCTAAAATAGCCTACCGCTTATATACATTCAGAAAGTCTTACAGTTTTGTGGATTTTCACACAAAGACCAGTCATTAGTCATGTGGCTACACAGCATTTGACCACTGGATTTACAAAAATCATTTCAGGTTTAAAAAGTGTTTCAACACTGGATCAACTACTGATGAACACAATTATCGCTCAGTGGGTTATTTAACCATGTGCTACTATGTCTTTGGAAGGCTTTTGTCTTTCAAACACATTAAAATGCACAAATTCACACTATTACATGTAATGCATTCCCAAGCTTTTTTTGTCATCTGAACCTCTTTCACCTAATATTTTCTTGAAGTACCCCAGAGATTTTAAAACAAATATTTTAATAATTAAATCACATTTGAATGCTCACGGTTCTCTGAGGTTGGTTAATGGACACCTGACATGCAGGTAAACAAATAAAATATTGAATTTTGTTAGTAAGTGTTTTGATTGATGCCATTTTAAAATGATTTATTTATTTGTACATTTTTATGATTTAATGAATTACCAGCTTTTCATTGAACTCACAAACCCCCTGCAGTTCCTTTATGAACCCCAGTTTGGGAAACCTTGATGTGATGTAATTTAATGTTTAGTGCACCTCATGTTGTTAATCACAATGAATGGAATATATTTTCTTACTCTTTGTATTTTCTATCAATTTGGTACAAGATTATCATATTTAAATCAATGTGATAAACGAGTTAGGTCAAAAGTAATCTAAAAGTAATCAAAAAAATAATCTGATTATATTACCTAAAATGTGTAATGTTTACATTACAAACTACAATTTTTGTCATGTGATTTGGAATCAGTAACGGATTACAATTTGTAAGTAATCTACCCAGCTCTGGTTACTGATACAAGCATGGGGGATTTTACTCTGTTGAAATGCCATTTGTTTACACTGCGAGCGACGCAATGTGATAAACTAGAACTCTCCGGTTATAATCAATGAAGTCATTTACACCGCAAAACATGCAAAGTTCATTGATGATAATGGAAGCGATCAAGTATTATCGCGTCACTCGCGTGCTCTGAGTAGTTTGGTCTGTAACGGTAACCAAAGTGAACATGATTAAAATTCATTACGAGTTGCTGACGAAACCAATCATCATAGCGATATCATAGAATTTAGATGATATCGGAAAATTGCCTTAGTATTTGACTATACTACATTGCACTTCTGTCAAAAAAAATGGACAGGTTGGTGAAAATATCTTACAAAACGTGAATTAAAATGATAGCAAATTGGATAACACGTTACTTTACGTAATTAATATTCATGATGTAAACCGCGCCTGGCACATGGCTGACCGAAAATAAACATTAGAAAAAAAACAAAAGTCATACTGTACAAAAAAGTATTTTTTAAAAATATTTGTTTGTAAATATGTTTTAGCCCTAGATATGAAACAAAAAAATGCTATAGTGACATTTCTGAAACATTTGTCTTAGTAATTTTGTTAAGTGTTTTAGTCGTTTTCATTTTTAAAATGTCTATTTACTTTTGATTAATTATTTCAGTTTTAGTAATTTTACTACTATAAATTGAATTAGACAAAATTAGAAATGTTATTATATTTTCTGCTTTATTTTATATATATTAATATATAATATATGTTAACCCCCCGGTTAACATGCTATTGGTTTAGGTTTAGTTGATAACACTGCACTACAAGTATTTGACATTGATAATGTATAATTATAGTAATATAATTTATAATGCATTTTTTCATTCAAACAACGACGCTCCCGTTTCATCTTGACGTCACAAACAGGTCTTCATTCAGCCTCACAACGCTCATGGCACATTTTCTAGTATATTCTGATACTAAGGCAACTCAGAATGGAGCAGGACTGAATCTTCAGGTTGGTGTGAATGTTGTGTTCAGGTGCAGGAGGTCAGGTGTGATGGACAGGCAGCAGGGTGAGTGTGTTAGTGGTTAGAGTAGAAGAGCTCTTCAAAGACTGAGCTCAAGAGGTCAATGTCAGAGTCAACCAGTCCAGCAAGCTTCCATTTTAATAACACTGTCATTAAAAACTGTGTATATTTGTCACATGCCACCATGCATATAAGCTAACGCTCACAGTTGATTTCAATAATTATGTTGCAAAGCTAACAACTCAAAACTAAAACAAATAAACAAACACTTTATGCACACAAATACTGGATGAAAGTTAACTTTTTTTAATTAAGAACTATATTCTACTTTTCAGTATTTCCTAATAAACAGAGAAAAATACATTTTGCGTGTGCATTTTTTATTTAGATGGAACTGTTTTCTATCAATATTTTATACAGTAATAAAATTAATTTTTATTACAATACAAGACAATGCCTAAAATTGTGTCTAGGTTTTGTAAGTCACAAAATAAAATAAAATATAATAAAATAAAATTTCAGCCATTATTATTGTATTATTTTTGTAACTTGAAAGGAATAAAAGAACCATAAAAGTACCATAAAAGTTATATGCTATAGCCATATGCTATATTTCAGCTCTTCTGAAAGCAAACAATAATTCTGTGTGAGGGGTGGAAAAGAAAATGGCATTATTTACTGAAAATTGTCTGCTGTAGCGCTCGAATCTTATGCTCGCACACATTCAAACCTGCCATCTCAAGACTAGTTGTGATAAGTTTGATATCAATGATGTCAAATTTTTTGTTTTTGCAATTCTTGTGGCTAATTTGTGTCAAGTTTGAATGTTTTGAATTCAATGTGCAATTGGAAAATACTGAATATTTCCTAAAAATAAATTTTGCATGTGCATTTTTAATCAGCTGGAAATATTTTCTATTGATATTCTATGCAGAACTTAAATGTATTTTTATTGCATTTAATACAATGCCTAAAATTGCTGTCTAGGCTTTAGAACAGCTTTTAAATCACTGTAAATATATACATAAATAAATAAATAAATAAAATGTGAACTTGCTGGACAACAGGTCATAGCATGATAAAGGTTATTTTTTTGCCTTTTAAACTAGCTCCTGTCCCACACTGTCCCCCTGTTAGCTACCCCTACATCCCTGAGTTAGCACCCAGCATGCAGGGCATTTACCTGGGAAACGCGAAAACAGAGAAAACCTCTTAAGCGAAAGGCGGCGCGGACGAGGCGACACCACGGAAGGAGAGAGAGGGGGGGTGACAGCTGAGGAGGAGGGGGGGAGAGGCAGAGCAGAGCAGAGGAGAGACAGAGAAGCTCTTTAAACATGCCACGCATCAAGATCCTGCCGAGAGCTGCTCCAGCATCAGCAGCTGCTGAAGGTACAAATCCCTCATTATAAAACACTACGGGAACATAATATTTTCTTTGAAGGGGTAATGCTTTGCTACTAACCTTGCCTTTGAAAGTACAACATATTCTGGTGATGTTAAAGGTAGGCTATATTTCACCCAAAACTTGCCGTTATCGCTCCAAACCTGTATGACTTTCCTCCTTCAGTGGAACCCAAATGTAGATATTTTGCAGAATGTCTAAGCTGCTCTTTTCCATACAAGGAAAATGGACTTCACATTGCCAACAGGCTTAAAAAATGAATCAAAATCACCATAAAAGTGGTCTATATACTGTGTTTCAACTCTTTTGAATCCAAACCATACTTTGGAGTTAAAGACCAAAAATTAAGTCATTATCAATGAAGAATTCAGACCTACAGTGGGCTGAATCGGTTCAGTCTGATTCGAAAACCAATTTAAATGATTAATTGAAAAGATCTTACATTTTTTGGTATTAGATATCGCTACGTCTCTTCCAAGGAAAACATGTCAATATTTTCAGTGAATAACAGCGAATATTTTAGCCGGTTGCTTACACTTTTAAAGTGATATTTGCATCCTTTTTGTAATTTGAAAGCACGTAAAAGCACCATAAAGTATCATAAAAGTGGTCCATATGCTATATTTCAGCTTTTCTGGATGCAAATATAAAAAAAAAGCAAAAGTTCAGGAAAAAAAAAAACATTATTCAATGAAAAATTCTCTGCCGTAGTTCTCGAATCTCACACTTTCCCACATTCAAACCTGCTGCCTCGAGACCAGTTGTTCCAAGTTTCAAGTCAAAAACGTCAAATATTGTTGGTTTATTCATGGCTAATTATGTACATTGCAAAAAAAAATATACACACACATATACATATATACATACATATATATATATATATATATATATATATATTTGGAAAGTGTAAATGAATCCCCATCCATTAGCAATGTGTGGAAAAAAGCAGCTTGGACATTCTTCCAAACATCTCCTTTTGGGTTTCAAGGTTTCTCTTATGCAGTGTTTCTCAAAGCACACACAGCCACACATTTAGACACATGCTAAGCACATAAATGTGATGTTTGGCACATGAATGGACTGCGGCACAGCTGGAGGTGAAGAACAGAATCAGACTGCATTATTAGTGACACTCGGCCAGCAGATGTCCCTGCAGCCAAATGTGTCCTGTTTAGTCCCCTACTGCCGCTGTTATTATGTAATACAAAAGACTAAACTTACAATGACAGATCATGACAAAGTGCACTGAGAGGCGCTGACAAGATCCATTACTTAAACTAACGCTGGGCAGCAAACATATCAACAGACACATCATTGTTACCATAAATCAGCCTTATTCAGAAAACTCAAAAATGCATTCATAAATCATATTTCAAAATTCTGTCAGCATTTACTCATCTGAAACTGTGCTGGTTGCTCTTTTCCATGCAGTTACAATGACTGAGAAGCTTTCAAGCCTCCATAAAAAGATGATACAGTTTTTGAACGACACACGAGTAAATGATGACAGAATTTTTTTTTTTTTGGGTGGGCTATCCCTTTAAATGAACAATTTCTTTAGGTGGGGATGTTTCACACTTTTTGAGTAGAGAAAATTAGAGATAAAATAGCAAGGTAAAATACTCACCCAGGCATGTAGTCAGTGCCATGACTCCATAATAAGAGAAAGGACCCGTCTCAAACATCATATTCTCATTTCCAGCCTCAACTTCCACCCGACCCTGAAAGACAGGTGTGAGTTAATTAGTTTCATTAGTTAGAAAAGTCAATTGTGCAGGACATTTTGCTGTATATATTTGAAGAATAAATTAGAGAATCATAAAGACAACCACATAAATGAGAACTGCCTCCCAATCAAATCAAAATGTAATCAAATAAATACATTGGCAATAAAACCTTTGTAGCTTTTGCGTGTTGTCCTTCAAGATACTGAAAGACCTCAAGAACCCCCAACGGTTTGTTCTTAAATAATTGAACAGCATTTTTAAAAACACTTTAAAAACAAAACATTTAAGTCAAATGCATCTTATTTTGAAATCTTAACCGGTTTCCTTGAAGAACAACCTGTTGCGTCTCCATAATTAAAGACGAATGACACAAAACCCAACCGAAACTCCCACAAGGAGTGTGAGGTCAGTACTTTTAGTAGTTTGAAACCATTCGTGTGTCACACCACATTCGAGCAAACACATACATTTTCCAATGTCTCGGGCGTCATATTTGCCCCATTTTCCATCCTAATGGAGAGTCAACCTTTCCTCTCATTTTCAGAAAAAGGTAACCGGATCTGCGGCGCTCGGATTGCACGACACACGGATCCTGTCACTCTATCTGAGTCTCCTCTGCTCTGGTGTCTATATTCAGGTAGACACTCCAAACACAAACAAAGCTCGCCAACTTTGCTGCTTTCTGTTACGCCAGCAAACCAGAGCCAAATCGAGTTTCATAAAACAAAACAAAAAAGGTGTTAAACCTGACACTGTTTGTATACTAGAGCAAAAACAAATTATTGACAGAAATACTATTACTTCTACTACTACTACACAAATCTCCAAAATTATACACAGTACCAGTACCAGAAGTTTGGTGCCAGAATGATTTAAAAAAAAAAAAAAATTATTTAAAGAAATTAATACTTTTATTTAGTGAGGATGGATTAAATTGATCAAAGGTAATAGTAAAGACATTTATAATGTTACCAAAGATTTCCATTTCAAATAAATGTCATTCTTTTGAACTTTATATTCATCAAAGAATCCTGAAAAAAAAAATACATCAGTTTCCACAAAAATATTAAGCAGCAAAAACTATTTTCAACATTAATAATAAGAAAAGTACTTCCAACAAATCATCACTCATCAATAACTAAAACTTACAAAATTACTAAATGTACTAAAACCAGAAGACATAACATAATCATTCACTTACTAAAATATTTATTACATACTAATATATTTATTTATTAAGAAGTATAAGAAATTATCAAATATAATTAAAAATGAAACAATCAAAACAATACACAATTATTGTTCTTTTTTTAAATATATGTTATATATTACAGATTCTATCATTTATTTGATATTTTATCATTTTGAAAATTCGGTTTCATAATTTCATAAATATATTTGATTATCTATTACATTTGAAATCATTTTGAAACTTAAAATAGAGGCAGATTTAATCCGGAAAATTAGCATTTGTAAATAAGCCGCAGGAGTTTGTTGAATTTAAGCAGACATGCGGTTTGATGGCAAGTGTGACGTAGCGTTTCCTGACACATGGCGTTTGTGCTCCGTATGACATTGTGCCGCGGGGATGATTACGACTGTGATAAACACTCTCACACTGAGGTTCTGAAAGTGTTAACCTTCTCCTGGCTGACCCCCCGCCGAGCACACACCAAATCCAGGATCTGATTGACTGATCCCCGGGGGCCCGTGCGCCACGTTGGCCCCGTGACCTATCACAGCTCGTTCTACTTTGACCTTGATGTTAAGTAAGCTGCCGCACATATATTCAATTCAGATGACTGGAAAGTACGCGGGAGGTTAAAGGTCACGCTATTGTGTTGATCCTTGTACATAGTTCAAATATGAGTCAGTAACTCAGTATCTATATATGTATCATCAGCTTGCTGTAGCATGGACAACTAAGAGTTTTTCCATCAATCTCGCCTCTGATTGGACTGTTTCACAAAAAGAGGGCATGCCATGGACAGTGCACAGCTTTGATTGGTTGTGCATTCAATTGTGTGTGTGTTGCTGGCAGAAAGGGGGTGGGATTAGAGCTGCTATGCTCAGGATCCCTTTCTTATGTAAGAGGGATCAATTAGTGAAGGGCAGGCCTGTCTGATGCAGGACCTCTTCTAGCTAAACCTCCAGTGAGGTCACAGACGCTCCCAACAGACCCGTCTGTGCAACTCTACACCAGGCCGAGGGGCACCAACGAGCCGCCAATCTCAAAATACGGCACTAAAAAAAAGGTTGAAAATGCTAACCAGCAACCAGTGGTACTTGCTAAGGAAAGCATCACTATTACTAATGCTCAAACTTCAAATCTCTATTATGAAGCATTAAACCTCTGCATGGGTTTCATTCTGTGCTGCTTGTGCTACACTCTCAGAAAAAAAGTGGCAAAACTGTCACTGGGGCGGTACCTTATTTATTCCTAAAGGGTGCATATTAGCACCTTAATGGTACATATTTTTGTAAAGGTACCACCCCAGTTACAGATTTTGTACCTTTTTTTTTCTCCCTGACAGTGTAAGAATATGAACGATGCCTCAAACTGTGCAGAGAGGTGTGCTGTTACTTCTCCAAGTGATCAGACTTATAATTTTTGCTTGGCAAACAATAAAACAGGCAAAAAAAAAGAAAAAAAGAAAAAGAAAGTAGTGCTGTCAAATCGATTAATTGCGATGTACATATATACATATATAT